TTTGTTTCCTTCCAATTTTGTGGTGCTAGGGATTGAATCCGAGCCTTCATCCTGAGCTACATCCCCAGACCGTTTTATTTTGGGGTAGGGCCTCGCTAAGTCACCAACCTGCTCAGGCAGGGCTTGAACTCAAGGACCCCTTCCCCGCCCCCCCAGCGCTAGGATGCTCCATTCCTCTTATACTCACACCCAGAACGGATGGGAAGTGCAGGGGTGCAAGCTGGAGGTTGGGCAGGGCTGTGAGGAGTGATCATTGGATGTGTATGAGCTGCTTCTTAGAGAAATGGGAAGTGAGGGGATGAGACAGCGGGGAGCAGGTACCAGGGAAACATACCAAATGCCACTGGACCAAACTGCTGACTTTAAAATGGTTAATTTTACATCATGGGACCATTAGTTAAAAACATTTATACTGAGGTAACCTTTTTTCTTGTAAGTTTGGCAAAGATCAAGAAATATGAAAAGGCTGGTAATGGGAAGGAGGTACAGACAACAAAATGGGAAGATGATCCAGCCATTTCTCCAGAGGGTTAAGCATCTATCAAAGTTTAAAAATACCTAGCACACCATACTCTACTCTGCAAGGCTGCTATCTGTGAAACAAAGACTTGAAATAAACCAAATTTCTATCTATAGAAATTTCTAACAATTTATTTTGGTTACATAAATTATGGTTTATACATATAGCAGAATACAGTATAGCTGTAAGAGCACATCACATAATTTTGTATGTGACAGAATGGTTGGCAAGATAAACTCCAGTCAAGGCAGAATGGTGCCTCCTCTGTACAAAGAGAAGGAGATGATCCTCTTTCCCCCTCCTACCCCATGACTGGGCATCAGGGAATATCCCTGGAGGAAGACAGTGACAGGTCCCTCAGAGAAACGAACAGACTTGTCTGCTCTTCACCTGCTGTTCCTTTCAGAGTGTTTGGATTTTGTTTTTACTTTTTCTAAAAGTAAATAGTATCTGATTGTACATAAAAATCTTCACCTAGCTGGCTTTTTTTATTAGACCTCTTTTCTCCAGCACACAGAGCCCCATTTTCATTACCTCATCCTCCCAGGGTGGGGTGGGACTCTGTCTTTCCCACTCCCACATCAGGCCTGTGCTCTTCCAGATGTGAACAGCTCAGCTCTCATGGGTATGAGACTCGGGCTTCTGAGCCCAGAGAGTCCTAAGACTTTGTGAATCAATGATATCTTGAAAAGCTGTAGTTCAGTGGCACAGCACCTGCCTGGCAAATGCAAGGTCCTGAGTTCAATTCCTCATATGAGAGAGAGAGAGAGAGAGAGAGAGAGAGAGAGAGAGAGAGAGAGAGAGAGAAAGGAAAGGAAAGCTAGAGGCCCTCTTCCCAGAAAAGCACTGGCTGAATTCCACGCAGCAAGATGAGTGCGCTTGGGGCTGGCACCCAGGCACCACATGATCCTTGTAATACTCAGCTTTGCAAGTAGCTATCACAACTTGTTGGTTAGCACTAATCGACTGACAGGCTTCTTCTCTCATTTGTTTCCACTGGCAGGCGCAGCTCTGCTTTCCACTCCAGGATGCTGCACGAGTCAGGCCCTCTCAGCCAAGTGTCACTTTTAAGCTTGTAATTGCTAGCTATAACTCTGTCTCTAACTAAAATCTGGACTTATATTTGTTCTGCAGATGAAATCATTTATTTCCACCTGAATCAACAGAAGGACAACTAGTCATTGAAGAATTTTTAAAAGGGCTCGATCATATTTATCATCTGAGCAGGAAGACAATTTGGCAACGCTGTGCATAACTCAGCCTTCTACCCGACTGTGCACTAACCCCTACACTTGAAGTCCTTCCCCCCGCATTGCTATAGTTACAGGCCGGGCCTCTAGGGAGCTGATCTAGGTTAAATGAGATCATAAGTAAAGACTCCTCAGCCAGTACAATGAATGTCCTCATGAGAAGAGGAGGAGGGGCCACAGATCTCTCTGCACAGAGGAAAGGCCACGAGAGACTCAGGAGGGGTCCATCCACAAGCTATTGCTATCTCACAGCAGAAACCAAGCTCTACAGTGCCTTGGTCTTGAACTCTCAGCTTCCCAAACTGAGAGAAACAAGCTTCTCTTAAGCCCCTCAAACTGTGGTATGTTTTTATGGCAGCCCACACTAACACGCAATTTCCTCACAATTCAAGAGTTAATGAATGACAGCATTGAGGAGTAACAGCTTTGTCATCTGCTGATTTAATTATGTCCCCCCAGCTTGGCCTTCCCAGGGTATCTGACTGGAGAAAACCATGTAGGTTGCAGGAAGAACTCAGAATTACCACAAAAGAGTTGGGAAGGCTCAGACTTTGTACAGCCACATGTTAAACTATAGCTTTAACACAAAAGCTATCAATAGCTGGGAGTGGTGGCGTATGCTTATTGTCTCAGTACTTGGGAGGCTGAAGCAGGAGGATCTCCAGGAGTTCAAGGCCAGCCTGGGCTCCATAGAGGGTTCAAGGACAACTTGAACTCCATAGCATGACCTTGTCTCAAAACGCACACACACACACACACACACACACACACACTATCAGCAGACACTATACTTCAATTATCTAATAAGTCAGCTACACAAATATGAAAGTGAACCTAGGTATTTTATAAAACTTTTTAAAAAATTCACCAAGTCAAAGATACTTCATGGTGTTAAGACTCAGTCAAAAACTCAACCGAGGGGCTGGAGAGATGGCTCAGTGGTCTAAAGCACCTACTTGGAACAAGCTTGGCAAAGTACAAGGACCACGGTTCAATCCCCCAGCACCACATGCCAGCCAGCTGCGCCCCCTGGTGGGCTGAGCTGGCCACACACACACACACACACACACACACTAAATAAATGTTAAAAAAAATTTAAAAAAAAAAAAAAAAAAAAAAAAAAAAAAAAAAAAACTCAACCGACTAGAATATCCTATTCACAAAGGATGATGGGTAATGTTGGTTTTACATAAACCAGTTTACAGGCACATTAAAGTAATCTGTACTAACAGTATAAGTGTGTCTCAGCATACTCCTTAACTGGAAAACTAAAAGAGGAGCATGACTCAGTGCATTGGCATACCCAAAGCTGAGCCCTTCTGCGCCCCAGGTTCCTCATCTATACCATGGAAATACTAATCTGTATTCCACAAAGCCACTTAGGGAACTAGGCAAAGCCACTCCTAGCTAGACTGCCATAAAGCAAGAACAATGTATACATATTTTAAGTTAGTTTTATGGAATAATTTTAAATGTACACCAATGTATATGTTTAAGTCAGCTTTGACTTACAACCTAGTTTTAACAAAATTCACTTGTTTTAAAAAATGTGCACTTCTATGACTTACTACATTAAGGATTCTCCAAACGCTGTAACAAAAGAAGGAAAGCAGTGAAATACCCTACACACCAAGAAGGTCTTATCTCTAAAGACAGGAGAGAGAGCAAGGATGGAGGGAGAACCACTAGTCTGAGTTCATAGAGTCCTTGTACTTACGCTTTTACATAAATTTTACATGTAAATTTACACTCCTTGACATCTACAAAGCCCAGTTAAGGTCACTTGGCCATTAGCGGGGCTTATGGATCAAGAAAGAGGGGAGGCTGCTGTGGGTACTCACGACTCTGCAGGGCCAGTGCAGGCTGCATGCCCCAGCCAACTGTGCTTGCTCCACAGAACAGCATGAAGGCTACGTTGGAATGACCATGGCTTTCTAATGAATACTGTATTGATTTTCCCTATTTTTTGTTGTTAAATGCAAGGAACAAAGTGATATGTCTGTATCAACAATCTGATTTCTGAACTGCTAGTTGTTAATATTCAAGAACTACCTTTTGTGTCAGGCATGGTTCCACACCTATACCCCTAGCACTTGGGAGGCTGAGGTGGGAGGATCAACCCAAGTTTTGAGACCAGTCTGGGCTATGCAGTAAGTTCAAGGCCAATCTGGGCCACATATTGAGAAACTATCTCAAAAAAGAAAAAAAGAAAGGAGGGAGGGAGAAAGGGAAGGAAGGAAGGAAGGAAGGAAGGAAGGACGGACGGACGTATAGTTTCCCCAAAACCTACACAAGCCAGGATACTTTATCAGCAATACAGTTGTTTCACTACTAAGAAGAAATACAATGGGGTAGGCTGGTTAGAGCAGAGTGTGTGTGTGTGTGTGTTTAATATACTCACACAGCTCTAAACCAAGCATCTTATCAAAGCACATGCTGAAGAAGTCCCAGTGCCAGTGCTGACACTCTCCTGGCATAGGCCTCCTCCTGGTAACTACTCACTTTATATTTCTCGCATGCCCTTTCAGTTTCTTTCCATGTAATGGCAGTAACAAGTGGAAGCACTTAGTGAACAGGGCCATGTTATATATACACACTCTTCTGGCTTCTCCTTTTCATCATTAATATATCTTGGAAACTTTTCTACACCAATACATATAGATCTTCTTTAGAAAATACACAATTTTCCATTACATAAATATTCTGTTCATGAACACTGGTTTGTTGGCAGTCTTGTTATTACAAACAATGTTGCTATGAATAACTTTTTTTGTGTGTTTTCGGGAAGGGTCTACAGGGTGTTCAGGGTCTCACTATTAGATCGGACTTGTAGTGATCCACCTGTTTACAGCCTCTTATATGCATGCTACTGCACTCAGTCTCAACTGCCACCACAGCATGCCCTGGGGGGCGGGGCCAGCACAGCAGGCCCCGGGATCGCACCCAGAGAACAACCTTGGTATATTTCATCTCTTTAGAAGAAAGGCCCAGAGGAGGCTTAATAGGTCAAAAGTATATACACTGGCAATTCTGAGAGTGGGGTGTTTGAGATTCTGAACTCATTCAAAAATCTGCTGAAGAGTATAGAATATGGTCCTCCAAAATAAAAGATTCACATAAATTTTACTTCAATTAGCCTCTAGGACTCCTCACACATCAATCACCTGAGACATCAAGGAACTAGAGGATCCCAGAGCTGTCTTGAAATGCTCAGAACCTGGAGATGTTACCTTGGTTGATTTCAGCTGCAGAAGGCCCCAAGCTCAAGCTCTTCTTCTGCTGAGCATTTTTTGCAAGAAGTGTGTGCTTGTCATCATTTCCTGTGTCCATCTCTGAAATGGTGACAGCCAGAATCCGGCAGAAATTAGCAAGCTGTTGCTGGTCAAAATTGGATACTAAGGAACTCAGATTGGGCACTTCGTCTAGTCGGATCATTTCCTACAGAAGACACAAATAAAACAACCCACATGCTCAGTCTACTCTGGAGACTGCCGTGCCCTCCTGTCCTACTGCGCACCAGCAGGCTTGGCGATGTCACCCAGGTTCACGGCCAGCTCTGCAGCATGCAGCTGTGCAACCTCAGGTCTACAGTCCTGGACTCTGAAGTCTTTCCCTGCCACCTGCAAGAAGGCACTGACTTACTTCAAAGAACTGTGCTGTAAATTCACCCTCAGACATCACTGGTCCCATTCTCTACTTTTCTCTTGTGACAAATATGGCTGATTAAAAAATAAAAAACAAAAAAAATCAAGTTTTATAAATCACAAGTCACCATTCTTGCTATAGATGTGTTTTTCTAAGAAACAGAATATTCCAAATGTAAGCCAAAGGCCTCCGTGTGGCCCCAACCAGCTCCATTTTCTTTTCTTTCCTTAGAAGTCATCACTGTTTTTAAACAGTGTTTATTCTTCCCAGGGCATGTTTTATCCTTCAAAATATATCCACGCAACTATATGACATTGCAAAAGCATGACACTGTCTTCCTTTTCCAGGGTCTTGCTACATAGCCCAGACTGGCCTTGAACTTTTGATCTTCCTGCCTCAGCCTCCCAGGGTTGGGATTACAGGTGTGCGCCACCAAGTTTGGCCTCATACTTTACTTCTAACTCAATCAACACTGACATTTGTCTACACAGACCCAAGTAGCTCCGGTTCCAATTCTTTTTATTAGTTTACTCCATAATTTTAATTGTTTTTTTATTATTACTTTGCTATTAAAACCAACAGTTTACTCATTTCTAATACTTTATAATACTCCACTGCATGAAGGGACATGGACTATAGACTAGCTTTCAGTCCTGCTCTGAAACAATGATGCTACAGATGTTCTTGCACACGATGTGATGCACATCATGTATGCAGAGTGTACATTCGTGTATTTCTTGGGAAGCAGCTTGTAAACTGTGCTGACAACCACCAAGAAATAGTTTTCCATCACAACTCAATAAAGATACATGCCAGAATGTAGTATGTGATACACAGACATAAATATATATACATATATATATGTATATATATATACACACACACACACACATTAAAAAAATTTGAAAAAACAATGTTTTAAAACATGCCCTTACAAGATACACTTTGGTCTTTTTTATTTGGCTGATATAGCTATTAATGTTACAGCTCTCCTGGGCTCAATGTGGTGCTTTCATTTCTCAGAATCATTTATTTACTTATTTACTAGGTACTGGGAATCAAACTCAGGATACTGTACTTGCCAGTGAGGTGCTGTGCTTCGGGGCTACATAGCCCTGGCATTCGTTCATTCACTTTTTGATACTAAGACTCAAACTCTCAACCTCACACTTGCCAGGCAGGCGCTGTGCCACTGAGCTGCATGCCCAGCCCAGAAACACTATTTTAGGCCCCGCCACTATGTGTTCTGGCACAGTCACAGACAACTCAAGGGAAACCTGTACTGACACTTTAGCCCTTGGGACAGAGTGGCCCTAAGTGCTGGGCACAGGGCATGTGCACCCTGTAACATCATCAGAGAAAGCGTAAACATCTTCTGCTGACATAAAACAAACCTGCACTAGGTCAGCGCTCCCGCTGATACTTGTGCACCCAGACACTTGCCCTCCCCCGCACCGTATATGCAACTTGCATCTCCTGTTCATCAGTGAAGTCAAGCAACTTCTTGTGGGTATGGCCCACTTCTCTTCTCTGAGTTGCTTATTAGTATTATTGCTCATGTTTTAACTAGGCTATTTGTCTCTCACACTGATTTGTAAGAATTCTTTACAAATTCTGAATACTAATCCATGGTTGCATAACTGCAAATACATTTCCTTATTCTATAGTCTGGGTTTGTACTTCTCTTTTGGTGTCTACTTACAAATAGCAACAAAATATCCACAAATATATCTACTGAGCCTATCGGCATGTCTGGCAACATAAAAAGGAAAGAGGACAGGCGAGCCATGTGGAAAAGTGAGAAAGGAGCAATCACCATCTCCTACACTGAGGCTGGTGGTGACCTGACATTTCCCCAGAGTCCCATGCATGAGCCAGAGGCCACAACAATTGGAAAATTAACAAAGGCTTTTTTTTAAAGGACACAAAGCGTCCATCTGGGGCCTGCACACATCTCTGGTTAGTCCCTACACAGGGCCACTTGTGCTGCTTCTGCCTGGGCAATGACAAGCGCGGCCTGGGGCGGCAAGACAAAGGCAGAAAGGATGGGGCTCCCCACAATGCGCACGGGAATCCGCTTTCCTGCAATGGCAACCTCAAGGAGGCGCCTCAGCAGTAAGAGGGAGAAATCCGCTAAGCAGCGACTAATGGGGAGGCTTGGTAGTGGGCCTGGAGAAGCAAGTTCTGGGCCGAACAGGGTTACCCAAAATCTAACACAGTAGTTGGGCAAGACAGAGCATGCCTGTAAGACCAGGACTCGGGCAGCTGAGGCAAAAGAATCTCCTAGAATTCTAGGCCAGCTAGGGCTACATAGTGAATTCAAAGCGAGCCTGAACTATATAATGAGACACTGTCTTGAAAAAGCAAAATCACAAAAACAAAAGAACAAAAAAATCCCCCAACTCCTTATCCATAAAATTCTAACTAATAGAGGTCTGTGGGTGTCCTTTTTTGTGTCTGTGAAAAGATTTTCATTTTGATCAAAATTTTTTTCAAAAGTTAAAAATCACCTGAATGTCCACCTTATGACCAAGTGGCAGGAATTAGCTGCTTACATTTCTGTTTCTTGAGTAGATGTCAATTAGCCAACTTTAATTATTAAAGAATAACAAGAGTCTGCAGAGCTGCAATTGAGAGTGGGCATGGTGGCGTGCGCCTGTAATTCCAGCTCTTGGGAGGCTGTAAACAGGTGGATCACTACAAGTCTGATCTAGTAGTGAGACCCTGAACACCCGGTAGACCCTTCTTTAAAATACAAAAAAAAATAATAAAAACTGGAGGTGAACTTAAGTGAAGGTCAAACATTACAACCACAGGGAACTCACAGGGAACTCACTGTAATGAATAAAGGTTTCCCAGCATGCTAACAGTGCAGGTATACCAAAATGAACTTGCACCACAATAATCTGGGCAGGTCTTTTGTTTGTTTGCTTTGTTTTTAAGACAGCGTCTCACTATATAATTTACGATGGTCTTGAACTCACTCTGTAATAGATTAGGCTGATCTCAAATTTGTGGCAATCCTACCTCAGTTTCCCATGCACTGGGATTACAGGAATGCACCGCTGTCTCTGGCTATGTACCACCATAACTTATGGGGGACAAATTGTACTTCAACAAAGGACATTAGTGTTCACAATAAATTCATGAAGTGAATTTGAAGTCTCAAGTTTTGTAAGTAATTTGAGCCCAACTTATATACTTACTTTCATAGTCATAAAAGATCCATAAATATAAGAACTCTAACCTAATTTTATACTTGTAATAACACAAAAAATAATTCTACATGAGTGTACAGAAGAATTTCTTTTAAAAGAGCTCTTTACATTTTTTGGGTTTGGGAATCCAATGGTCTGAGACTTCTACAGGAAGATACAGCTCACCTTTTTAACACCCAAAATATCTTCAATGAGCGTTGCAGTTTGCAAAAACGTCTTCTTACTCGTCATCAGTGTAAACAGGAAGATCACAAAATCATTCTTTTCTGCCAAACGCTTTGTAACTCCTTCCGTCTGTTACAGGGAAAGGCGAGAAAGGGTAGAACAGGGTGTGATCACAAAACAAAGTACAAAGCGCAAGGCGTCCCTTCCAGGTATCAGGAAAGCATTCCAACCCTGGAGAAGCAGCACGAGCCAGCAAATCCAGGATATCACACATTAAACACAGAGAATGAATCAAAATCCCTGGCAGAGCGAGAAAAGGCCTCCAGGAACCACACACGGCAGAGAGTTTGTGAACATGAGAAACGGGGCATGGCCTCAGCGCATAAGGTCTAAGCCCCAAATGTTTCATGTAGAGAACAAACCAGTGTCTTTGGAGCAGAAATGATGACCAGTGTGGGTGACTGCACTTGGGGCCCGACTGAGGTGAAAGCTGGGCCCAGAGAGATACTGTTTCCTAAGAGTTTGCAAAATGGCTCCAAAGGCCATTCTCACACAGGAAGCACAACAGCATAGGATTTTAGGGTCAGACCCAAATTCTAATTCCAGTGAGATGAACTTAAGCAAATCACTTCTCTCTTTAGGACCTCCATTTTCTCATCTGTAAAATGATTATTTTAAAAGTCTCCGACAGGATTCAGTCAGAAAATGCATGTAAACACTGCCCACATGGTAAGTCTCGGCCACTATCCTACAGACACAATGATCTTCTTGAGTAATCACAAGACTGAGGTACCCTTTGCTAGTCAATTAAGGACCACTTTCCTAACAGACATCCAAAGGTTCTTCAAACAGGAGCAAAGTTAGTCAGGGACAAGTGCCCTGAGACCTGCCTTGTGCTGCTCAGGCTGAATGACTGGTTATTATCAAAACCCACACAAACAGGGGCTCCCCCACTTCTACCACCTTGTGCTTCCCTGTGGGAATGGCTCTATCAGCTCCATGCCTGTCAGCACCATTTCTGATATACAAACAATATCAATGTCTGCTGATATGAAACTGACAAATCAAGCATATTATGCCTGCATTATGAAATATACATTAGAAAAAATAATGTAGCTACTCTTTATAATTTTAATAGAATAAAAAAGGCCATGAAATGGTGCTTATACACATACCATCATATACCAAAATTCTTAAATAATTTGTAAAGCAAATTGCTGGTACTTAATCTGGTTCAGGAATCACACATGATTTATATACTCTACATCTTATCTGTGTTTGCTATTTTTTCAGTTAAAGGAATCTATTATTTGTGAAATAAATCAGCATCAAAGAAAGTAATGGGCAGGCCTCCCAACCCCTCCAAATGCTACCTCCCTCATGAACTCTTTGCTGATGTACTACTCCCTATGCTATGCATGCCCCGTGTGTCAAAGCACAGGCTCTGTACTCGTCTAGTTCATTCACTGTACCCTGCACCCCTGCCAGTGGCTGTGAGCTGGCTGAAGATGGAGCCTACTTTGTTCCTCTTTGCACCCCTGCTATCTAACAACAGGCCTGGACAGGGCAGGTATTTAGGAAATATCTGCTTAAAGGCTAGAGTAAAAAACAACAAGTATCTGGGAAATAAAGGAACAACTTGGCTTGTGAAAGTCCCAAAAGTTGGTTCAAGAGCTTGAATTTAAAATTGCAGTACTGGGGCTGGGGAGATAGCTCAGCAGTCTAAGCGCCTGCCTAGCAAGAGCAAGGAACTGGGTTTTTTGGTGTCTGGTAGGGTTTTTTTTTTTTTTTTTGGTGGAACCGGGGATTGAACTCAGACCCTTGCACTTGCCAGGGAAGCGCTTATTCCACTGAGCCATCTCCCCGGCCCTTGGTGGGTTTTTAAAGTGTATTTAGTATAGGAGCTATAGGATCTCACTACACAGATTGGACTTGGACTTGTACTGATCCTCCTGTTGTTTTTCAGCCTCACAAGCACTGGGACTACAGGTGTGCACCACCACACCCTCTCCAGGTCATCTTAGCCACAGTCTCAGTGCACCCCAGGGGCGGAGCCGGTACAGCACACTGGAATCAAACCCCAGTCCCTGTGTCTGCCTAAGCAGGTGCTTTAATCCGCTGAGCTATCTGGCTAACCCTAGGACCTGGATTTGATCTCCTGTATCACATGCTGTGCTAGCTCAGAAGTCCAGGCCACACTGTACTGGCCATGGACACCGGGCGTGGTGGCACACGCCTGTCAGCCGTGCCAGTGCTGGGGAGACTGAGACAAGAGGATCACTATGAGTCTGACAGTAAAACCCTGTACCAAATAAATAGATTTTTAAAAATAATAAATAAAATTGCAATATTGCCTGCCTAACCCCCTCCCCACACACACCCCACAGACCAATCAGCTCTTAGTGGCTTCGATTTTTTTTCTTCATTTTAGTGTCAAAGATGGAAAAAAAAAATTCTGAAAGGCACACTGCAACACACATGATTTCTCTTTAAGGAATATAACCAGACTGGGATGTAGCTTAGTGGTAGAGGTAGAGCCTTCCTTCCCACCTATGAGGCTCTGGGTTTGATCACTAGCACCATGTGCCAAAAAATAAAAAAAGAACATCATCAAATGATGTACAGGTGAGCATTAAGTATGTGCTAGTGGCGGCATGTGCGCCACAGTGGCTGTTTGTAATCACCAAAAGCTCTAAAGTGTTTGCATAACTTGGGAACTCCAAGCTAACAAGCACCTTGTAATCAGCGAGATGAACATATCAAAGCAAATTAAAATTTCAAACTCAAGGCACCCTTAAACGTGTGCAGAGTATGCAAATCTAAGGGCACTAAGTAAAGAAAACAGTTTCAGTTTGACTCTATTAACATTCCATTTGTGTTCTTTAGCTGTGGCACTGGCATATTTTTAAAAATGGCTTTTTTCCCTCCAAGTACATAGAGCAACGTACACTGGCTGTAAGATGTGAAACAGGACTGATTGTAGCTTAATTCAGGCCTGATTGATTCTAGCTTGAGCAGAGAGGGATAGGGAGAGAGGGTGAGAGGGAGAGAAAGAGAGAAGGTGAGAGGGTCGGAGGGAGAGAGGGAAAGAAGGAGAGAGAGAGAAATAAATAGAGAGCGCCATGTACTTAAAGCTTCAACACAAGGCCTGTCTCCAGGATGGAGGAGTATGCTCAGTGATACAGCACCTGCCAAGACACATGAGGCCCTGGGCTCAGTCTCTACCATAAGGAAAAGAAAGAACCATCCAGGTTGTCAAACACACAAACTTGCCACCCTGACTAGCTACCTCTAACACCCACCTCTCTCCTCTTCAACTTATCAAGATCCTACTCCCTCTAGAGACTGGCTAAAATACAGTCTCTTCTGGAAAGCCCTCCAAATTAGGATTTACGAAGCAAAAAGCCATGTACAATTGTTCCTTTCCTCTATACACAGGGCCTTAATTCTCTCAAATAATGCACAATGCATTTTCTGGGGAGAGGTTTTTCAAGATACTTACCATAGGTTCTAGACTTAGTATGGACATGAGGAGCTACAACTAGTGTCCAGTAAGCCAGGTTGTAGCTGGTCAGGAGTATTTTATAAATCTTAAATTTAAACATGTTTAGGCAGGATGTGTTTGCTTTTGATTAGTCACAATTTTATACAAGTCCCCAAGCCAACACAGACACTTTCAAATATCTCTCACTTTGCGCCTGATCCCTGGAGACACTGCTGTTACAACTCTCGAGAGTGCTAGGTTCTCTATCTAACCTGAAAAGCCAGATCAGCAGAGGTAAACCTTATCATCCTCCATTCTTTACAATCTCTCTTAAAAACAAACAAAAACCATAAACTGTGTTTTACTAGAATGTCAACTAATTAACGTTAGGTGTCAAGATTTTAAGCAGCCTAAGACCAATAACTATTTGGGAAGTTGGCCATGAGAGACGTAACATCATTGTCATTCTTTTAAGGACAATTTCTTCCTGGCCTTAGTTGCAACAATAGCTGTACATGTCCTGAATGATTCTTCTCTTACTCATATAGATCTGTCTGTGTCTCTCTGTGATATTAGTTACACGCCCAACTATACACTTGAAACGTGGCCAGCTCAGTCTAAACTGAGATGAGCTCCAGGTATAAACATTTACACTGGGTTTTGAAAGTTTAGTACAAAAAGAAAGAAAGAAAGAAAGAAAGAAAGAAAGAAAGAAAGAAAGAAAGAAAGAAAGAAAGAAAATCTCATTTGTAGTTATATTGAAAAAATAATGTTCTTGAAATATCGTTAAAACATATTATTTTGTTTTTTCCGGAACTGGGGATTGGACTCAGGTCCTTGTACTTGTCAGGGAAGCGCTTATTCTACTGAGCCGTCTCCCCGGCCCTGTTAAAATATATTATTTACAAAAAAAAAAAAAAAAAAAAATCATTAAAAAAAAAATATATATATATAAAATTAAAAATATATATATCATTAAAAAAATTAACTTCATTAGTATATGGGAATGATACATGCACATTTATAGTAATAGTTATCTTTGGGAAGCCTACGGAGTGGGGAAGTGGTTGTGGATACACAGCATGAGACAAAGATTAGCATCCAGTGGATGATAATAAATGTACAATAGTGAATATTAACACACTTCAGAATAATCTCAATCTTGCAAAGTTATGACTACATAGATTACCCATCAGCTTGGAGAAGGACATTGATACGATTAATGAAAACACAATGCACATCACAGGCACACTGTGCTCCATAAAAATACAGCAGCTTGTGGACAGCTCTGAAAGGTAATTACACAAAAGTAGAAATGGGTTTTCTGTTAAAGTTGGCTGACTATGAATAATTTACAATTGTCTTTAAAACTGATATATCATAATCTCAATTTCAAATCATTTTTTGGATGTACCTAAGTACCAAAGAAAGATCCCCAGGACTGCTAGTATTGATCTGATAATACAAGAATCTGAAAAAGCTACCATTCAGAACTTTCATAGAGCAGAGCTGCTACTGTGTGTTAAAGATTTGAAGCAGCTCACTTGAAGCAACCATAAATTTTGTAATGGAACCAGGTGTGTGTGGCAAACTGTCCAATTTCAACAATTTTCTATGTTGAATTTAAGAAAATAGAACTAGAAATCATATATCTATATGCATATATAATATATATATATATTAAAATGACTATGGGCAAATAAATGAATAAATATGAACCAAAGACCCTAAAAACTAGCACTAGTGAGAATTACTGAGAAGGCTACAGAAGTTCTGCAATGGGTCCCAAAAACCTGGATATGTGCACGCAGTTCTCTTCTCCAGGCCAGTCTACTTGGGGGTCGACCCCATGCTGCCCCTTCCACATCACTTGTCCCTTGAGTGTCTTTAGTCGATGTAGCACAGGTCACCTGCCCACTTTGCACCAGTGTGAGCATTTTAGCATGTGCAAGTCTACTTCGGGGAGGAGGAACACAGTGCACGACACTGTGGGAATACTGAGTGGGACCTACATGAAGGATATATACACTTCACTGAGCTTCTTTCAATTTACTATAGCTTTGCAGGTTTTCAAAATACAAAGGAGAGGAATAAAAGATAAAATGGTAAAAATCACCATCAAATAATAAAATTTTATCTAGATATGTAAGGAAAAAATATTAACTTTATTTCTTCTCTTTTAAAAAAAATGTGGCTATTGGAGCCAGGCGTGGTAGTGCACACCTGTAATCCCAACACTTGGGAGGCTGAGGCAGGAGGATTGCCATGAGTTTGGGACCAGCTTGGACTACAAAACAAGACTCTGCTTCAAAAGAAAATTAAAAAAAGGTTGTTATAGGAAATTCAAATAACTAAAGTGGTCTACACTGGTATTACATGTACTATTATAGATACTCATTTGTATAAGTTTTCAAACATACTTCTCTATTTGCATTGGCTACTAAGAAGCCTAAACCTCAAACTGTGCCCTGGCTCTACATAGCTCAGATGGTTTTGTGGTCTACACCGTCCAATTCTCAGCTATATTTACATCCCCACCCTACTTCTAAACTTGTGATCTTGGTAAATTTCATATACTCTCCCAAAATGCCTGCAATACCTTCTTTTTTAATGAGCAAAAAATGGAGTCAAATGTGTGTTTTCTATCTCTGCAGTCTATGGGTTTCACTTTTACAACAGCACCTGTCCTATTCCGCTGCAAACTGTGACTGTTTACAAGGCTTACTGTACCTACCCTAAGTTCCTAACAGGCATCGTGTCTAGCAAAACACCAGCATTTTCATACTGCTCCACAAAGTGCGTTCACATCGGCTATCTCACGTGCTCTCACAAAAATCCGGCGATGTATCACTGACTGTACTCTACGGATAAGAAACTAAAGCTCAGAAAGGTGCAACAAAGTCAGCGCTCACCTCAAAATCAACTGCTAATACTGGACGCTCTCCCCTCGTTTTCTTGGTGGTAGCATGGACTGAACTCTGGTCCTTCCCACTGAGCTACCCCCCGACTCTACCCCAACCCCTTTTTCTTTGCTGTCTCGTTCAGCATAGGCTCAAGTTTGTGATGCTCCTGCTTCAGAGCTTAGATCACAGGCTCTCTTTTCTTTCTACCAAATTGCTCCCTTTATTCCCTATTCTTCCAGGCTCAAAAGTTAGCATAGGAGTGTTCCACTCAATATATGGCCAACTTTGTGGTTCTTGTTTTGTTTTTTAACAGGGCTAACACAGGACTAGACATAAAGGCATTAAGGGAATCTTAAGGGACAAAGACACTCTGCCAATGCTTGTTGCCCTTTAACAAGTAATTGCTCTATCTCTGCTCATACATCCAGGTCTAAAGGCATTCAGGAGACCTGCTGATGCAGCCCTGGCTCTTAACAATTACTACAAGACCCTACCTGACTAGTATTTCTTTCTTTCTTTTTTATGCTTTGTTTGTTTTGAGACAGGCTTGCTATATAGTCCAGGCTGGTCTCAAACTCACTACATAGCCTCAGCTGGCCTCAATTTCATGGCGATCCTCCTGCCTCAGCCTCCTAAATGCAGGGATTACAGGCCCTTCTCTGCCTTCCCATTATTTCTGTGTGGATCCTGCTCTCAGACACACATCAGTTCAATTCCCTCAAATGTCCAAAGAGTTCTTTTATGTCCACAACCCCTACTTGGATGTTCTCTTTCTCAGGACCAAAGACACGGTAGGAAGAGAAATGGTGCCCACTGTTGGACATACTTACACAGACACAGGTGTTATACAGGATACTCAAGCAGTCCTTGGACATTTCATCGCTTACTGAAAGGCAAGGTGGAATAGCTGGTTATTTTTTTACTAGAAAAATGAGTGTAACATTACTTATTTTTTCTTTTTTTGAGACAGGGTCTATATAGTTCAGGCTGGTTTAAAATTCATTATGTAGCCTAGGCTGGTCTTGATTTTTTTGGTACTGGGAATTGAAATCAGGACCTTGCACTTGCCAGGCACGTGCTTGGGCCACTGAGCTATATCCCCAGGCCCAGGCTGGCCTTGAATGTGTGGGGATCCTCTAGCTTCAGCTTCCTCAGGGAGTATAGGTGTGCACCACCATGCCAGGCTACATTATTGTAACCATAAAATGGCTACAGTTCTCTTCAAGATCATTTCTTTTACACCTTGCTTTACAAAGTGCAATCACATCTATTCTCTCACTTAATTCTCACAACAACCCTGTTATGGAAGCTGTAATTTTCTTAGCATTCTCAGAACCTATAGATCAACTTGCATACTGCTTTGCAATTTGATATAGCAGCTACTTTCTTACACTCCAGTTTTTATAATTTCATAGTTTCACACAGTTAACAAAGCTAGTTTTCCTTTGTGTCTGTTTTTTGCTATTTAAATAGACTACAAATAAGCAACTTAAATATATGTATCTGTCTGCTTGTGTTGAACTGGACTATCAAGATATATTTGCAAGAGCAGGACTACTGGAATCCAAAGTATAAGCAACCTCATTGCTCTTGTTAGAAATTCCCACTAAACGTTCTCCTAGCAGGAGACGTATCTAACACAGTGTTCTGTTTTGTTTTTGTTCCTGTTATTTTTATTTGTGCTGTGTAAATGGCTTTCAATGTCTGACCTACTAATAAAGAACTTGTTGTTTCTTTGTGAGCTCAAAAGAAGAGTAGCACTAAAAAAAAAAAAAAAGAAAGAAAGAAAGAAAGAAAGAAAAAAGAAACAAAATAATTTTTATGATCCCCCAAGCCAGATGGTAAAATTGAGTACAATTTCATTCCTTTAGCATAGGTGCATGCAAGTGATACTGTGGATCAAACTCAGGGACACTCTACCATCAAGCTACATTAACAATACTTTTGATTTTTCATTTTGACACAGGTTGCCCAGGTTGGCCTCAGACGTGAAATCCTATCACAAGAAATGCTACCTTAGCTTCCCAAGTAGCTAGAAGTACAGGCATGCACTGCTACATGGAATTGCACTGCTCTTACTTTTAAAAACCTGTTAACATTCATTGCTGTGCTGATACAAACTCTGAAATGCTAGGTGTCCCTGAGATTCCAAAGAGAAGCTGTCAAGCTGGCCTGACTGTAAGGGCCGGTGAGAGCTCAGTGGACTAAGCGCCTGCTTAGGCAAGTGCAGGAACCAGGGTTCGATCCTCAGTCCTGCATGCTGCGCCAGCCCTGTCCCAGGTTGCACTGAGCCAGCTACCGACTCTGGGAGTGGTGGCACACGAGTCCAAACTGCATAGTGAGACCCTCTACCAAATACATAAATGAAAAAAAAAAAAAAAAAAAAAAAAAGCTGGCCTGACCAAAAGGGTTGCCTCTGATATCTTGAGACAAAGCAATCACCCAATATCACTCATTACTACCTCTCAACCTATTCATGGTTTATTTTTGAGGGGCAAGGGTTGGGGGGATTAGTCTTTTTGGTGACAGGGTGTCATCATGCAGTTCAGGCTGGACTTGAATTCATTCTGGTGGCCAGGCCAGCCTCAAACTCACAAGATTCACCTGCCTCAGCCTCTTGAGTGCTAGGATTATAGGCATGTGCCACCATGCCCAGCTATTTCATTTACTGATTTAATAATTTCAGAGCAGGGTGAGAAATCAGATTGATATATATCAAAATTTCTGTATTTGCTATTTTCAAAGGGAATGAGATTCATGAATTCATCAAATATTCATTTAATACCTACTCTAAAGCAGACAGTAGTAAGTCTCAGCCCTCACTGAACCTGTAAATTCAATGGGAGGAAGAGATTACATAAACTAACAAGTAACCAATATGCTACTGGCAGCTAGAGTAGAAAACAGTAAGGACCAACCTAGAGTACAAAACTGAGACAATGAACATGAATATGAATTATTTTACCTACTAGTGCATGAACAAACAAGGGCTTATACAGTATGCTTTACTGATACTAGGAATGAAAATTTTCAAAAGTATGTATGTGATGCCTATAGAGGAGCACTCATCAGATGCTGGCTGAGGTGACCTCTGGCATGCAAAGCCTCATGCAGTCACTGGGGCAGGCTTCTGCGAGGATGATGGGTGTGAGTTCTGCTGGGGTTGGGGTGTGGGTGCTACATCCGACCCAGGGGAGACAGCCTGCATACAATATAAGGAAGGGAGACAAGTCTGCTAGCTGCAGCAGCGGCTCCTCCCTTCTGGCTCTTGCTCTTTGCCGTTTTCTGCAGCCATGAACTGCTGCCCTCCGCCATGATCCATTCTGCCTTGGAGCCGGCCAAGTACTGTCTGAAATCTCCACAAACTAGGAGCTAAATACATCTTTCCTTCCTTGGGTGTCAAGTATTTTGTCCCACAATAAGAGAAAAGTCACCGAGCCAGTTCAGTTGCTGAACTCCCTACATAGCCCAGGATGGCCTGGAACTCTCAGTGACCCTCCTTCCGCCTCCCACGTGCAAGGATTACAGGCACATGCCACCATACCCAGCTTCTGGCTTTTAATAGCAGAATAAAATGCTCTCATTTCTTAAATTTTTTAAAAAATTTAAATCTAGATACTTAAAAAAAAAATTGTGCCAGTAGTGGAGGTGCACACCTGTAATCCCAGCACTCAGGAGGCTGAGGAAGGAGGGCACTGTGAGCTGGAAGCCAGCCTGTCTTCCACAGCGAATCAAGGCCAACCTAAACTACATAGCAAGACCCTGTCCCTAAATAAATAAATAAGTGTAGCATGTGTAATTACAAAGAACAAAAGAGTAATATCCATATAGCCACATGGCATATGGTAAAAAATATACAGCAACAAAATTCTCTTGCCTTGTACCATATATACCATATATATTCTCTTTGCTTCTGTGTGTGGTACCAGGGATTAAACCCAGAGCTACACCCTGAGTTATAGCCTCAGTCCTTTCCAGTTTAAGTCACAGTCTTGCTAAGCTGTCCGGGCTGTTTTCAAACTTGTAACCCTCCAGTCTCAGCCTCCCAAGTACTAGGATTACAAGTGTACAAAAGTAAGTGCCACTGGGCCTGGCAGGACTGAACTGTTTCATTTTTACAGAAAGTATATACTATGTTTATAAGAAAAAGCTAATAGGTTTTTTTAAAAAAAAAAAAAAAAAAAGAGTGATTGGACTAGGTCATTTCTTAATCTCTCAACTAGCTTTAAAAAAAAAAGAATTTTTTTTTTTTTTTTGGCGGAACTGGGGATTGAACTTAGGCCCTTGGGCTTGCCAGGGAAGTGCTTATTCCACTGAGCCATCTCCCCGGCCCCTGAAGTAAGAATTTCTAAACAAAACTTAAAGGCTGGACCAGAAGACTATTAAAAAGGGCCAAGATGAAATTCTTTAGCCTGGTGCTTTTCATGCTCTTTCTCTGAATGCCTTAGATCTGTGTTCCACCCAGGATGGAGGAAGGCAGAGAGCCACTTAGCAGGGTAGGGAAAGCGCAAGCTGCTGCTGCTGCGTGTGAGGCTCGTCCTTGCCGCCACGAGTCAGGAAGGCTTCATGGAAGACCAGCTTCTGGAACCGCCACCACAATGACTTGCTGGGAAATCAGGGCCAGTGCCTGACAAATATACTTACTTTTTAGTTTCTGTCCCCGGATAGAGATTGTAGGCCTCATAAGAATTTCTACAAGGAGCTATTAAAAAAAAAAAAACAAAAAAACCACAAATCTTCAAAATTAATTCAAAGCACAACTTACATAACAATCTTTGCCAAGCAGCTGTCAGAGTACTCGTGTTCCAGGAGCCCATTCCCTGGCAGGAGCACTGTAGCCAGAGTCAAGAAATGGGTTCTAGTCCCAAAGAGGCCTCTTATTGATTGCCCAGTAAACCCAGCAAGTTAATGCCCCTACCAGGGCCTCAGCTTTTCACTTTAAAAAATGAATACGTTAAATTAGGTGATCTCTAAGGTTCAATGTGGCTTTACTTTTTGAAAAGCTGCAGAACATTACCACTATGGTGACTCTTTGCTTAAAGTACATATATGTATGAGTTATTTTAAACAGGTTTTTAAATGTATCATTAATTGATACCACTCATTTCTATAGAGATTAATCAGTAATATGCATATATTTTTCATTTTATATACTTGTAATGCTCCATACAATTTTCCTTAAACTAAGTTGGGAATAAGTACATACTTAAAAATTCTGTTAAAAGGAAAGACAACTTATGGTTGATAAAGGGGAGGGCAGTGAGATAGCTCAGCGGACTAAGCACCTGCTTAGTTAAGCACAGGGACCAGGATTCAATCCCTGGCACCACATGCCACACTGGCCCTACCCCCGAGCACACTGAGCTAAGATCAGGTGTGGTGGTGCACATGCCTATAATCCTAGTGCTGGGAGGCTGAAAACAAGAGGATCACTATGAGTCTGAGCTGCACAGTGAGACCCTGTATCAAATACATAAAAAGGAAAAAAAAATTGATAAAGGGGTAATCTATCAGAAATATATAATTATAAATATATATGCACCTAACAACAAAGCCCTAACATGCATGAAGTTAAAGCAAACAGAAACATAAATAATACATAGACAACTAGACAAAACATCAGTAAATGAATAGAAGCTGAACACCATAAACCAACCAGAACTAACAGACACCCACAGAACATTCTATGTTGAACAACCGAATATATTCTACTCAAAACCAAACAGAACATTCTTCAAGCTAGATTATAGTTCAGGTCATTCAATAAACCTCAATAAATGTAAAAGGATTGAAATTACACAAATTATGTTCTGTTTCCACATGGGAATTAAATAAGATATCAGAAAAAAAGGAAATTCACAAATATGCAGATAAGTATAAAATCTAAACAATCAATGAGACAAAAGAAGAAATCACAAGGGCAACTTCAAAGTATGAGATGGGTAAATATATCACAACTTCTGATCTAGCTGAAGCAGCATTTAGGGGGAAATTTATAGCTACAAATATCTTTTTTTAAAAAATTAGTTTATATCAGCAGTCCAATCTTCTGTTTTAAGACACTCGAAAAAGAAGCAAACTAAACTCACAGAAAGCAGACAAGTGGCAATAACAATTAGGATAGAAATTAATGAGATAAAGAAAGGAAAATAACAGCAAAAATCAACAAACCTAAAAGTTGGTGCCTTGAAAAGATTAGCATTTCTTCAGCTAAACAGACCAAGAAAAAAAGAGGGGAGGACTCCAATTTCTGTAAGTAGAAATAAAGGAGCAAGCAAGATAGAAATTTAAAAAAGGGGCTACACAGAAATACTACGAACATGTATATGCCAACTATTAAGAAAACCCTGATGAAATGGACAAATTCCTAGAAATAATACGTACAAAAAAACTGACTTAAGAAGAAACCAAGTACCTCTTTACTCCTATAACAAAGAGACTGAATTAGTGATCAAACAAAACACCTACTCATAAAGGAAATTTTAGGGTCAGACAGCTTCACTGGTGAATTGTATAAAACATTTCAGTATCCACTCTTGCCAGGCATGGTGGCACACGCCTGTAATTCCAGCACCCAGGATGCTGAGGCAAAAGGATCCTGAGTTCAAGACTAGCCTGGACTACAAAGTCAGCTCAAGACCAGCCTGGACTACACAGTGAGAACCTGTCTCAAAAACAAACAAACAAATAAATAAATAAATATCAAGTCTTTCCAAAAATAGAAGAGGAAGGACAATTTCCCATTTGTCGATTACTCTGAGACCCAAATCAAAGACATCACAATAAAGTCACCAACTGCTATGGTTTGCATCTAGTTGTCCCCCCAAAGCCTCATGTAAGTTATGGGGCAGATGCAGCTGGAGGAGCAACGAATGGCTTGAGAAGCAGGGCTGGGGGGGGGGGGGGCCTGAACTAGGCAATGAGCCTGGAGGAGCAACAAGAGTGATGGAGAGAGGAGTGGGGGGGGGGGGGGGGGCCAAGGGGCAGGGCCAGAGAGGTGTGACCCGTTAAACTGGCTAGCCTGTGCTTTCTTAGAGGTGTGGTGAGGGTCATCCTGGACACCGCTGCGCCCCAGCCCCTCCTCCAGTGTCTTGAAACCTCCAGTAACTGTGAGCCAAAAAAACCTTTCCTTCCTTCATTCTGAGTGTCAAGTATTTGTCCCAGCAACAAAAGAAGAGTAACTAAGACATCACTTATAAACATTCACATAAAAAAAAATCCTGAAAAAAATAGCAAAACAAATCCAGCAACATATAAAAAGGGCTACACAATAAAACCAAGTAGAATTTATCCTAGAAATGCTAGGTTGGTTCAGCATCTGAATATCAATTAATATGACACATTCTGTCAGTACAATAAAAGATAAAACCCACACAACCATCTCAATAGGTATAGAAAGCATTTGAAAAGAATCCAAAATATTTTCATGATAAAACAACAAAGAACAGGTAGAATTTCCTTAACCTGATAAAGGGCTTTTCTGAAACTCTCAAAAGTTAACATCTTTATCAAGAAGAATGAATACTTAGCCGCTAAGAGCCAGAAAAACATAAATATATCTACTGTCTCTATTTAGCATCATCTGTAGATTGTAATGTGGTTCTGAGGGAGGGAGGGACGAGGGAGAGGCATCCAAATAGGAAAATAGAAACTAAAGACCTAAAATATAGAAAACTATAAAGTATTTACATTAAAAAATTTATCAGCATTAAGAGATCAATAATATATCAAGATAATAAACTGACCAACTGCATGTCTTCAATTATAGATACGATCATACAAAAACTGAAGTTGAGAAAATTCCATTTATAAGAAACTGAAAAAAGGGCTGGCCAAATAGCTCAGCAGATTAAAGCGCTCGCAAGCAGGAGCAGGGTCCAGGGATTCAATCCCGGAGCCAGCCCCATCCCTGGGGCATGTTGAGTTGGCAATTGAGACTGGGCGTGGTGGCGCATGCCTATAATCTCAGCTCTTGGCAGTCTGATCTAGTAGTGAGACTCGAAACACCTGTAGACCCTTTCCTTAAAAAAAAAAAAAAAAAAAAAAAAAAGGAAAAAGAAAGAAAGAAAAGAAACTGAAAAAGAGTAGGATACTCAGGAATAAAATTAGTTTTTTTGGGTTTTTGGGTTTTTTTTGAGACAAGGTCTTGTTATGTGTAAGGCTGGTCTTGAACTTACTATGTAGCCTAGGCTTGAACTCTCAGCAACCCTCCTGTCTCAGCCTCCCAAGTGCTGAGAATACAGGCCTGCATCATTAGGCCCAACAATTGACCTAAATTCAATGCAATCATTATCAAAATCGCAGCTGGCTTTTTAGAAATTGACAACTTGATCCTAAAATGTACATGCACCTAACTATAAGGGATCTGTAATAAGCAAAAAAATACTGAACTGGGAGAACAGAAGTAAATGCATGTGTCTACAATTATTTCTGACAAGGGTGCCAGGAAAAGAAAGTTTGCAATAGTGTTGTCATAATTGGGCAGTCACATGTAAAAGAATGAAAATGGACCCCTATCTCACATGATAAACAAAGATAAACTCAAAGGGATCAAGAACCTAAAGTGCAAGAAATAAAATTATCAAGCTTTTAGAAAGTAAATGGGTAAATCTCTGTGATCTCCCTCTCCCTCTCCCTCCTCTCCCTCTCCCTCCTCTCCCTCTCCCTCCTCTCCTCTCCCTCTCCCTCCTCTCCCTCTCCCTCCTCTCCTCTCCCTCTCTCCCTCCTCTCTCTCTTAATCCCTCTCCCTCTCCTTCTCCTTCTCCCTCTCCCCAAGGACCCTGCATTGGCCAGGCAGGCACTTATGCAGCTTAGCTATCTCCCTGGCCCAAGAGTTTCTTAGATACACATCAAAACCCAAGGAACAGAAGAGAAAAACTTAAAGTGAACTTCACCAAAATTAAAAACTTTTGTGCTTCATAGGGCACTACCAATAGAGTAAAAGGAAAACCAATGAATCATCTGAAGAAAACAATTGCAAATTATATACTTCATCAGGGACCAGTATCCAGAAACAGCTACTATAATAATCAAAGCCAACCCAATTAAAATGTGAGTAAATCAGTGAACAGACAATTCCAAAAGCCATTCGTAAACATATAAAGAAAGGGTCACTTCATTTGCCATCAGGGAAATGAAAATGAAAGCACAATGAGCTAATATCATTTTGCATCTCCTAGAATGGCTGCCTATTATGAAAAGGACAGGCAATGACTACGGCAAGGATGTGGAGACATTGGAACCACTCCCAGTGGACACGGAAAATGAAGAAGCTACACTAGAAAATAATTTGGCAGCTCATCAGAAGTTAAACATAGACAGCATATAACTCAGCAACTGTATGTCTGTCTGTCTGTCTGTCTGTCTGTCTGTCTGTCTCTCTCCCTGCTTCTCATATGACCCAGAGAATCTCCCTCTCTGAAATTTTTAAAGCATCCAACCTAACAAGAAATGAAAAAGTGTATCTATAAAAATACTTGTATTTCAATGTTCATAGTTACATCATTATTAATCAAAGCAGTGCTATTAATTATAGTCAAAAGTCCTGGGCACAGCAACACATGCCTGTAATTCCAGTAGCTGAGGCAAGAGGGTTGTGAGTTCAAGGCCAGCCCAAATTATGTAAGGATCCTGTCTCAAAAAATACAACACAGCAACAAAAGTCAAAAGTGGAAACAACACAAAGGTCCGTCAACTATTGAT